CTGCATCAGTCCTCTACAATCACTACAGAAATGTCTGTTGATAAAAGAGTTGATGTTCTCACTGATGCTTCATTGCATTATGATGAACACTTGTTTTACAGATTTGGTATGAATAACAAATTCCTTCTCAAGATTATTTCTCTCTTGTCGATAACGTGACAGTAAGTATATTTTTCTTCTCTTCTTTAGTTTTTATTTTAATAAAACCCATTTTCACTGTCCCAAATTGTAAAATAATTTTTCTTGTAGTTCCAACTATGATAGCAAGACTAAAGAAGGTATCAACTTTGTTGTCTGCAGTTGGTGAAGAAATTAGAAAACTTATTATTGCATTACCAGGTATATGGTACATTTTTATTTGCTGCCAGGGCTCAATGGTGATTGCTTTGCCAGTGTGGCCCATGAAAATAACAGTTTCTTCAACTGAAAACAAAAAGAAACTAAACAATATTATTAAACAACAACAGAGCACTTTAAATGCTAGTAACATGCTGTCAAAAGAGATTCGACTGATGAAGTTAGAAAGCGACTATTCAGCTGCTGACTTTCTTGGAGTACACATTACAATTTGAAAACATGTTCTGTAACGTTTTGTTAGTTTTACAAGAGTATGTATATTAGGTTGCATAAATTTAATTCTGCTGAAGTGTTTTAAGCGTGCTTGTAAGGTGTCTCAATATGTAATGGAGGTAATGGAGGTAAAAAACCATGTAAATAGTACACTTGCGACAGCAGAAAGGTGGCCGCGGCCCCTAAATAGAGGTGGCCGTTGAAAAGAGGTATCAAATACGGCAGTTAACTGACAAATAAATCGGGACTTTAGAAAGTGGCCGCACAATGGAGGGTGGCCGCTTAATAGAGGTCGGACTCAGAAAAGAAATGATGCGAAGAAACCGAGGAAATTTTCCCTCAAAGGTGATTTGTATTAATTAACCGACGATATTTTATAGTTGTGAAATAATTTGGAACGAATCACCAAATTCAAAGCGACTATACTATGGGTACGTTTCATAAGAATAAAAACCATATAAGTTGGGTCCTGGTGAAGTACACTTAATATACTGAGATGAAACTTGTTCAGTGGAGAGCATTAAAGATAAATGATGTGTTGTTTTAATCCTATACGTGACACGTCCGCAGTAACAATTTAATTTAATAAAAATTATATGAGTTAAANTATACATGCAATAAAATAAGGCAATTAAAAAGGTTATATTATCTTCAGTCTTAATTATTAAGATATAGGTCTAGCCTAAAAAAATTTCTTCTAAATCCCCTAAGGAGATGCTCAATATGAATAATTCATAAATTAACAAAAATACTATCTGGTTCGAGCGTAATACTCTTGGTCTTGGCATTTCAATCAAGAGTGTATTCTCTTAGGCTAATTATTATCACTTAGGTTCTAGAATCAATATTGGGTCATTCTCTTCACTTAGATTATACTATTTAACATTTTATTGTAATGTTTATTGTAATTATTGATCGATTATTTCATTTCCATTGATTGGTCTAATGCTGCATGATCTGAATGCACAGTGTGGTTTTGGTTATAACTCTATGGAATTAAATTGACCTAACTTCAATACAGCAATCTGGCCTGATTTCGAACCAGATCGGGGGTTTTAAAAGTTAATTTGTCAGTGAAATGTTCAGCAAATTAATTTAATTAATTTTAATTAATTACATTTGTGACTGCAAAAAATACCTTAAATTTACTTACAGTGAATTATTAGTCTAAGACTTCCATCAGAGCTCAACTAAAGCAGATGATGAAACTTTGGACGACTTTTACTCATGACAGTTCTGCTGACTGCTTACAAATGTTTGCATATCAAAGTAAAAAATTAGCAGTGAATTTTGGTTTTGAGTTGGCCTCAGTAGAAAAACATCAAATTATTCGTAACATTCTAGCAAAAGCTATGTCTTCAAGGAAGTAATTACTGTAACTGTTTTGGTCCTTAATTAAGCCCTTTTTACGAAGTACACAATCCTTGTTGACTAAGTGTAACTAAAATAACAGAGCGAATGCCCCTTGGTAAACAAAATGGCACCCCAGAATCCATATTTACAGAACACACAAAGTAAAGAGGGCCATGGACAGTGCGCATAATGTTCTTTCCCAATACTTGATCATTATTTAAAACAGCACAAGAGCCATCACGCCTAAGATCAAGCGAGTGACCTCTGATCTTAGTGGTATTGACTGATTTCACAATTCTTGTTGGCTTTGAGATGGTGTGAAAAAGCCAGAATTGCTCATCGGCTGTAGTGCAGATAGGWAAGACCAAGCTTGTTGCTTCATCAGAATGCTTCATCTTCACACCAACAGATAACCAGGCATCTGGTGTAAATAGGTGAGTACAGGAAGCATACAGGGTCAGCCTTTCTGGAGCTGGAAGGCACAAATCTACTACCTCCACTTTCTCTTCTTCGATCCTTCTCCCACCCAGTGCATGTTTAGCTGCTTCTATGCCACATATTTGTGTCAAAAGATGTTGAATGCCAGCTGCACTGGAATAGTCGATATCAACAGAGCATGTTGCAGGTGCACTGTTGGTGATTATTGATGGAGTAGATGTAGATGTTGAAGTACTGGCAGATGTACATGTAGACATGGATGCTGAAGTAAATGTAGGTGCTGAAGCGGATGTAGATGCTGAAATGGATGTAGGTGCTGGAGTAGATGTAGATGCTAAAGTAGATGTAGACCCTGAAGTAGATGTACATGCTGAAGTGGATGTAATGGTAAAATGAATGTTGTCTGCACGCAGCATTATCTCTTTGAGCTGAATCCGCCCATAGTTGTATGGCTTCTTGAAGGGAATGCCTTCTGGGAGACCATGGACCTCGAATCCACCTTTCAAATATGGAACTTTGCTAGGTTTTGGTNGCTTCTATGCCACATATTTTTGTCAAAACATGTTGAATGCCAGCTGCACTGGAATAGTCGATATCAACAGAGCATGTTGCAGGTGCACTGCTGGTGATTATTGATGGAGTAGATGTAGATGTTGAAGTACTGGCAGATGTACATGTAGACATGGATGCTGAAGTAACTGTAGGTGCTGAAGTGGATGTAGATGCTGAAATGGATGTAGGTGCTGGAGTAGATGTAGATGCTAAAGTAGATGTAGACCCTGAAGTAGATGTACATGCTAAAGTGGATGTAATGGTAAAATGAATGTTGTCTGCACGCAGCATTATCTCTTTGAGCTGAATCCGCCCATAGTTGTATGGCTTCTTGAAGGGAATGCCTTCTGGGAGACCATGGACCTTTCAAATATGGAACTTTGCTAGGTTTATTACTAACATCACCTAAAAATAATCATAACTTGGTGTAGGTCATAAAATGTCTCAGAGTTGAGTTGTAGTTTTAAAGTGCAACGTGCCTTACTGTGGCCACCAACAAACATTTTTACAAGCTAGCCAATCAGGGTGTGTGAATTTGATTGACTGGCATGCCTCCATTTGGTTGTTCCGTGTTGAAACTTTTTATGGAGGCATATCTGTCAATAAAATTCGCGTACCTTGATCGGTGGCTAACTTACAAAAATGTTTGTTAGGTGGCCACGGAAAGGCGCATCGCACTGTAATTAATTCTGTTTCTTAACTAAACCAGAAAAATGCTATTTCTGAAATAACTTATATATGCATTAAACTAAAATTTACATTCCTTTGGTACATTCCATTTGTAACTCAAATCATTAGTTACATACAAAGCGTAGTTGTTCAATGATAACTTCTGCAGTTTTTTAAATGCTGTATTTCTTGTTGAAAAGGTCTTGCACATGAGCAATAGTAAATTGCTTATTATTTGCACCCATTAAACAGAAAGTAAACAAAAGAATTCATATGTAAACAAGATATGAATGGCAGCTACATGTAAGTTTCACATGAGGATTCTATTAAAGACCCATACACTTGTACGTGGTTCAACTTACATACATGTACCTCCATTTTGAAAAAGTTACAACACCTACAACAGTAATGTTTAAAACCTCTGGAGTACTTGAAAATAAATTATTCTGGGTATCAAAACGAGTCCCTGTCAAATAGGATTTTGTACTGTAGTTCCATGAGATGCAACCCCTCACTGAAATTCCTTGTATCAGACTCTAAGGTAGATGACAAAATTGTTATATAGGTGACTCAATAAAGATATTATCCTGTTTGCTAAGATCACAGCAGTGTCAGCATCTTGATCTTACTTATTAACATGATCTTTGACTCAGCTTTTGAAGACATGCTCCCTTCCTTGAAACAAAGTGCCAAATTCTGCAGTTCATTTGTCATAGTTCTTAGCTTCCATTAATGGGCACTTCACGAGATCCACCAACACCCACAAAAAGGATGTTTTATGCTCCAGTTTTCCCACAAAATGGCAGACCTTAATCAGTGAATGAAATATCTGCAGTGCTCTGTTTGTAAGGGTAAGTCATATAGGGTAAAAGCTTTATTAAAATCTTAATGCATTGCCTGCTAAGGCGAGGGCAATCAAACACTATAACATATACTCAATGTACACCATAAAACAAGAGAGAGGCGGGACTGGGGAGGAAAAGGGTTGATCAAGGGCTGACTCAGAACCTATCATCTATTATATGGCCACAATCCACACAAAGGATATTGGTTGCACATGCCATCTTTGGTTTAAAATGCAAAACAGTACACTCGATTCCATTTTCTTAACCTCACTCAAAGTAAATAATTATAATTATGGTGAA